TGCTGCTAGCAGCAGCTCTGCCTTCAGAGCTGGGATCCCAGCCAGCAGCTGCCGCTCTCCAGTTGCCCAGCTCTGAAGGCAGCGCTGCCACTAGCAGCAGCACAGAAGTAAGGATAGCAGTACCGCAACCCGCACATACAATAACCTTGTGACCCCGCCACAATTCCTTTTTGGGTCATTTACAACACCATGACATTTCCGATTTAAATAGGTGAAATCATGACATTTATGATTTTAAAAATCCTATGACCGTGAAATTGACCAAAATGGACCATGAATTTGGTATGACCCTACTCATCAGCCAATCCGATCACTATGTTATGTGTCATACTTATATTTTACCATAGGAAGAGCTTTTGTAAGACCAGTTGTTTTAAAGTAAATATTGCAAACCTTAAATTATAGCCTTGTAATTTATTTTATTGTACTTCAGCTAAAGAATATGTCTTTGAGTATATAAGAAGCATAAAGATAAGATGAAGTTAGACCACACATACTAACCTGAATGACTGGCCCTACTGTAGTTCTACCTAGCACAGCCATTTGCCCAGCATAAATACGATTTGCCCCATACTCCCCTGCATGATCCACCCTGATTATGCGATCTATGGTTGGCTTGTTGATGTTGTCCAAGGTCATTCCAGTACTACAAAATCTGAAAGAAGTCTGTTTTGACTGCAAACTCCATTTTCTTTCAGAACCTGTCAAACAGAGATACAACTTATGTGAGCTATAATTCTCTACCACCACTGAAAGTGAGGGAAGTCTTAATAAAATATCCATACAAACACTTAACACGGAATGCACACACCATTTACTCATGTTGTACCTACTTACTTACCCCTTTGTGATACATGACTCCAGTGTGATGGCGGGGGGGGAGGGGGGGAGGGATTCTGAGTCAGGAATGGAAAATGGGGAGAAGGGGAACAGATGACAGGTGACCTTAGGGTGAAAGTGGGATATGGGAGATTAGCCTCAAAGGGGCTCAGATGACCCCAGGAGTAGGGATGAAGCACAGGGGTGATGGATGACCCTGGAACGGGATGAGCTGGTGGGAGATGACTCCAGGGTGGGGATAAGAGAGGGTGGAGATAACTGTAAACCTGCAAGGGGACAGAGTATGACAGGAAGGGGTGACCCCATAAGAACGGCCATACTGGGTCAGACCAAAGGTCCACCTAGCCTAGTATCCTGTCTTCCGACAGTGGCCAATGCCAGGTGCCCCAGAGGGAATGAACAGGTAATCATCCAGTGATCCATTCCCTGTCACACATTCCCAGCTTCTGGGAAACAGAGGCTAGGCACACCATCCCTGCCCATCCTGGCCAATAACCATTGATGGACCTATCCTCCATGAATTTATCTAGTACTTTTTTTAACCCTGTTATAGTCTTGTCCTTCACAACATCCTCTGGCAAGGAGTTCCACAGGTTGACTATGTGTTGTGTGAAAAAATACTTCCTTTTATTTGTTTTAAACCTGCTGCCTATTAATTTCATTCAGTGACCCCAAGAAGAGGATGGACGAGTGACCCCAGAAGGCAATAACATATTGGAGGAAGGGGTGAACCCAGGGACGGGAGCAGACAGGGGGGGGCGTGACCCCAGAGAGTGGCAGAGATGGAATGACCCGGAAGGTGACGGGAAAAGGGGGTACCCCAAGGACGGGGTGGGCGCTAGGGGCAGTGACGCGGGAAGCGGGTACCCCACTTTTGCCATGAGAGGGGAAAGTTGTGGCCCCCGTACCTGCCCCGTAGCAGAGACGCTGGCAGCCCGCGCGCAGCCCCCTCACGGCCGGAGCCACAGCTGCCTCCATGGCCCTGACCCGGGCCTGGAACCGCCTCACCTCGGCGCAGAGTGATGACGTATCCAGAAGACTCGCTCAAAATGGCGTACAGCCTTCCCGCCCCTGTGCCGCTCCGATTGTCTCCTCGGCCTCTATGGCTTCCTCCCCATTGGAGAGAAGTACTGTCAGTCACAGGCGAGCGTCCCTCTGGCTGCCATGACAACCAGAATGCAGGACTGTGCTGCCTGCTGCGGGGATATGCCGGGGCGGGTCTCCACCAGGGGCCTCACCCGCTCCGTGGCTCATAGACTGTAAGCGGGGGAGAGGAACATGTGCATATGGGGAGCAGGGTGGCGGGTGCGTTGGTGAGCGGGGCTCCAGGGGGATGGGGAGTGCAGGAGAGCGCCTGGGTATGGTGAGGGGTGGGGACATGTATATGGGATGGGACTGGGAATAGAGGATTGCGGGTTACAATGTGCATGTAGAAGAACAGGAGTACTTGTGGCACCTTAGAGACTAACAAATTTATTAGAGCATAAGCTTTCGTGGACTACAGCCCACTTCTTCGGATGCATGTGTAACGCCGGCAGACCCTGGTTCTCATGAGCTAAAAGCCAACTGCTTGTTAGCTCAGGCTGTAGAGCAAACTCATTAATCTCTCTCGCTAAGTGGTCTTGGCACCACTAGATGGGACAGAACACCACAGCCAGAAGCTGTGTGGGTTACACATGGCTATTGCATGAGTATAGGGGGCACATGGAGGGAGCATGAGTTTAGGGGTGTATGGTGAGTGTATCAGAATAGGGTGGTGCATAGGATAGGGTGATGAGTGGATATGGGGTTGCCCAGGGATACATGGGGATGGGATTTCAGACATATGAGTATGATGGTTGCATTTAGGGTGAACAGACATCCCAATAAAATCGGGACTGTCCCGATATCAAGCAGTTTGTCCTACGTCCCGACCGAAGTACGGTCGGGACGCCATTTTTCCCGATATTTTGTTTCGGGTGTGGCGGCCCTTTTTTTTTTTCTTTCTTTTCCTTTTTGATTAGGTGGCAGTGACAGGCAGGGGGAACACCTTTTAAATTGTTACAGTCACCCGGCACGTCCGGATCTTCGGTGGCACTTCGGCGGCGGGTCCTTCAGTCGCTGATGGTCTTCGGCGGCATTTCGGTGGTGGGTAATAAACCTTGCCGCCAAAGAAAGAAGTGTCTCCGAAGACCCGGACGTGCCGGGTGAGTGTAACAATTGAAAAGGCACTCCCCCTGCGGCGGTCCCGACATTTTCGAGTTATCATCTGATCACCCTAGTTGCATTATAGGCATGAGGACCGTGTGGTTACTCAGGAATGTGGGGATGCCTCGTTACAGTTGGTGCATGAGCGGTATATGGATAGCTGAGGGTGTGTATTTGGATGAACAGTGTATAGGTATGGGGTTTGTGCATGAACATGGAGTACATGGGGGATGTATAGATATATATGTGACATGGGGCTTGTATTCACTGCGCGGTTCCCTACCGGGTCTTTGGCGGCGGGTCCTTCACTTGCTCTGGGTGAAGAACCTGCCGCTGAAAACCTGGAGTGAGTGAAGACCCCGCTGCCGCCGAAGTGCCACCGAGGACCCGGTAGGGAACCGGTTCTTAGGATTTTGGGAGCTCATCACTGTATGTAAGGGAAGTGCACACGGGTGTTGTGCATGAGTACAAGGGGGACAAGTGAGTGGGAATGGGTGGTTAGTGCGTGGTAGAAGACAGACAGTGAGTGGTGACTGGGAGAGGGGTGAACAGAGATGCAGGGAGTAAATGGCTTTGGATTAGTGTTAGAAATAGGTCAAACTGTCTCTAGTATTGTTCGATAGTTCAGCTCAAAGTAAAATGTTACTGGGTTAACATTTTGCTTAGGGAGCAGTTGAAAAGGGGAACAGAGTATAAGAATCCAATACTACTACTAATACAGCCTCTCTGTATATACTGTATACAGAAGCTCCTGTTCATGCAAGCCTAATTTTTTGTCGGGTGCTGAGGAATCCCTTAAGGAAGTGAGTACTTCTGACTCTAATAAATAGCACAGGCTTCTTTTTTGCTAGAAAACTAGATTTTTGTTTTTAAATGGAATAACTCTTGGGGATGAAGGTGGAAAGATGAACTTAAATTAGACCTGAAATAGTCAGATAACATGAACTAGATTTACAACTCTAAGAAATAGGCAAGAGATTCACAAGATCCCAAACTCCAAAAAGTTTGCCTATCCTACTTTCTATTTTTCTTTTACTGAAACTGGAAAATCTGTTTTGTCTAGAAAATATTACATTGATGTGCAAAGAAAAGAAGATAGTTTTGATTTATCAGGAGCTAGCAGGAATGAGGCTGAAAGTTCCAGTTTCTATATGGTAAGTATTTTCTGAAATGCATATTGTTTTTAAAAGGGCTAATAGGCTCCAATCCTGCACCGCACTGTGCCTTGATGGATCCCTGAGTGCATGCAGACTCCCACTGAAGTCAACATAAGATGCAACATAACATCAGTGGGGCTCTGTGCAGACACAAGGGTCTGCCTGAGTGAATGTCAGTACAGGATCTGCATGAACTAATGAAGCCCAAGAAATGCTGAAAAAATAAGTCTGACCTAGTTACTGTTGCTATGTTTCTTCCTTTAAAATCTGATTGAAAGCAACTGAAATTGAGGACCGTTAAGGTTACTAGAAGATGTATGCTTTTCTTTTCGGTTGTGGTAGTTTATGATGGAAAAAAAAAACGACCACATCATCAAATCCTTCTCCCTGCAAGACCAGAATATAGTCCCTTGCTAGAGGATATACTAGATACTGCAATTGGTGATTGATTATTTAACTCATACACATGTGAGAGTACTGAATATTTTATTTAGCCTTAGAAATATTCACAATATTACTGAATAAGCTTAGATTGTTATTCTTAGAAAAGAGATGATTAAGGGGAGATTTGATATAGTGGTCTATAGAATCATGAATGGTGTGAAGAAAGTGAATAGGGAAGTGTTAATTATCCATTCATTTAACACACAAACCAGGAGTCACCTAATGAAATTTAACAGGCAGCAGGGTTAAATAAAACGTAAAGAACTACCTCTTCACGCAATGCACAGTCCACCTATTAAATTTGTTACCAGAGAATGCTGTGAAGGCCAAAAGTATAACTGGTTTCATAAAAGAATTAGATACGTTCATGGAGGATAGGTCCATCAGTAGCTATTAGCCAAGATGGTCAGGGATGCAACCTTGCTCTGGGTGTCCTTAAACCTCTGACTGCCAGAAGCTGGGACTGTATGATAGGGGATGGATTACTCAATAATTGCCCTGTTCTGTTCATTCCCCCTGAAGCATCTGACACTGGTTGCTGTTGGATGACAGGATACTGGGTTAGATGGACCATTGGTCTGACCAGTATGGCCATTCTTATGTTCTTATAAAAACAAATAAAAAGCGGAACCTTCTTATGCACCAATTACCTATTCTTACCTAAGGTCCAAAGAGTCATGTTTTGAAGTCCTTTTAATACTAAAGACTGGGTTAGATGCATCCCTAATGACTTCAGTGAAGTTGCAAGGAATCTAAATCTAAGCAGAATTTGAGCTGTAGTATGTATGTATTGTATTCTGAGGAGCAAGCATATGCTGCTTTTGGCTGTTCCTGTAAAAGATATCAGACATTTGGACAGACTAAATTACCAGGGTCGTAAATTATCTGCAGATACTGTAGTAGCTCATCAAAGCTGTATGTATATCTGATATTTCAGCTATCAAGGGATCCTATACGGAATCTGGAGCTAACCAAGGTTCCGATCCAGGAAAGCACCCCGAGCATATACTTGACTTTAAGCTTGTGTTTAAGTCCCCTTGGCATCACTGGAACTTAAACATGTACTTAATAGCTTTCCTTAATCAGGGCCCAAGTACTGATCCCTACCAGAAGTGGTGCATGCCTTCTTTAGCTCACCACTCAGATCATCACAATATTTATCATGTTTTATTTCCACCAGGGCAAAAAGAACATTTGTATCAGAAAATTCCTAGCTCTTCTTAGTATCAGTACTCTGACCCCATCTCTCTGCCCCAAAGTTGGACACTTCATAACATATTTGCCTTTTCAAAAACAAAGAAACAAACACAAAATAAATAACTTTTGTGAATAAAAGTTAAGACCAAAATAAAACCAAGACCAAATGGAAAGCATGGTATTTGCTGTTCAACAATATAAAATTCAGAAATCCCAGGTCTTGTCCACACTAATATTTTTCTTAATATTTTCTATTGCTAGCACTAGCGTAGCTCTATCAGTGGTAGCAACAGTGATTAGAATAGACAGGGTAAAGGTTGCTACTGGCATTTGAACCACGATGTCTCAGAGACCTCTAATGAGCTGGGTAAGATAACACAGTAGCCAGTTAAAACACCAGTAGCCAGCCCCCCTCCACACCACCATTACTATCTCTGATGAAACTGCACTGCTAGTGGAACGGTTGGAAATTTTAAGGAATCCACAATTCCAGATTTGCTTTGGAAACTGAATTCTTTATTGAGAAGGTTTTTTTCCCTTTGGGTTACATCTTATGCTGCAGGTTTGCTAGGTTATATAAAACTTTTCTTAGAGTCTTTAAACAAATAGAACAACTAATCATCATAATTTGCCAGTTTGTAAATTGATGCTACTTAGAGACCTGGTAAGTTGGAAGAACAGGTTTTTCACTGTATTTTATTTTAATGAGGAAGTGTACTTTGCACACTGAATTACTTGTTAGTTTGTCACACCCTCTCTGCTGCACAATGAGGAAATCTCTAACAAGCCAGAGGAAAAATGTATAACTTTTCCTGTGAAAATGTATAGAAATACTTTTGTAGAGTGACATTTATTTTCCCACTGCTGCATAGAAATTTACATGCACATTTTGTGTTAATGTGAATTACCTGCATTAATCTCCCATCAGCTATGCAGTAACACAAAGGCAGGCACAGATCTCGCAAACCCTTACGTTCATGGGCATGAGTATGTACACAAGTACTTCCACTGAGTGCAACAGAATGAATTGCCGATATAAAGTTACTGACATGTGAAAGTGTTCATTTGCACGACTGGACCCAAGATAATGCCAGGGAACAGTGATATGATGACTCAAGCATGAGTAAAAATCAGGACTATGGAATTCTATTGCCAGTTCTGCCATTGACTCACTGTTTTGCGCTTGGGAAAGTCAATGAATGAATGAATGCTTGTATAATATTTTTTAAATTCTTAGATGAAAGGTTGCTGTCTAAGTAGAATGTATCTAATATTTTATGCATCATATCATCAACATGCTTTCTATACTAAGGTTTAACAAGAGCCTTTATTGTACTACTGATTTTTTTTTAAATAGAGCAATCCTTAGTGAGTAGTTTTAGTACTAATTTTTATGATTTACCTGTCCTACAAACAAAAGTGTACAGTTTGTGTGATGGTTCAGGGGAGCATCCGTGTTCAGAAAATAACAAGCATATGTGTGTAAATATAAGGGACTGAGGTACGTAGGACTTAAGCATATACACAGTGTTAAGCATGTTATTAAGTAATTTCCTGAATCAGGAGTTTGGTGACTAAGGTATGCATTTTTGTGTGTTACTGTACCATGTAACATGAATGTCTTTCTTAAATAAGTAATTATCTACATGGATTAAGATTGAGTTTCCTTCTGTAAATATCCATATTTTACCCATAATTTTCTACCATTTTTATTTATTACAGCATCCTGGAAGTATTGCTGAACAAAAATATGATCAGTGTCTCAAGCATAATTTTACAGATTGTAAATTCGAAGCATCTCTTCGAATGTATACAGGAAATTCTGAAGAATGTGAAAGAAAATTACAGAGCAGCCCAGAAAGACAACAGGAAATGAAGATCATCAAAAAGAAAATGGCACAAGTAACACTTAATGTTCTTCTTTATACATATAAAGTATTTTCCTGTTCAAATACAAACATAGAAGTTTAATTTTTGCTTTTAATTTTCCCTTTCTATCAGAATTTTATGTCATTAAAGTACTTTAACGTTGCATCTAGCTGCTATGAAGATAGGCCTGCTAAAATCACTGCAATAAAAAGTAATGTTATGAACAAGCACAAAAGCAATTTGATAAAGAAAGTTCCTGTTTTAATATTTTAGAAAAAAAACTGAAAATAATTAGGAGAGACATGAGCCATTTTGCTGCTTTACTAAAGTCTCTCTGAAGAAGATAACAATTACAGTCAGAGTTGCATTAAATAAATGCAATAATATGTTTGTTTGTTTTGAAGGATGTTGTAACTGACAGACCTTTCCCGGTCTTAGTAAGGAGTACAAAAAGGTAATGTATAAATCACAGTAAATTCTACTAAGCATTTGTCTTGTGCCAGGCCACATACATCAGCAGTGCAATATACTGCTACACAGCAGACCCAGGTATGACTCCTAAGCCACTGGAGCTTGCGTTATGGGAGTAACTGTATCTTAAGAAAGTCAGGTTGATGAGTTTCCACTCTCCAGATTGATCTCTCTCACCTATAGATGGAGTAGAAGTGCCACTGACTTAATCTTCTTTGCTGGAAGAGGAATATTGTAGTGGTGGCTGTGGGGAAGTTTGAGAAGTGTATGTATGAAGGAAATGGTGAGCATAGAATAACTGGGTGGGAGAAAATCTGAAAATTGCATGGAGGAGCCTTTAGACTGGCATTGCTTTATGGAGCATAATTCACTCCTGAACCTAAACTCCAATAAACAGCCCCAAGCAGGAAGGGTGCTGGCAATCTCTGTGTAAAAGGACAGGAAGAGGAGACATGGATCATCATGTATAGAAATACAAAACAGACCTCTCTCCATAAGGATCAAATCAAGTACTGGGCTCTCCCTATCCTTTTCCCAACAGAAACATAAACGTTAAAATAATCTCTGAAAACATAGCACAGAAATCCAGTTTATAACTTCAGGTAAAATAATCTTTTCCATTACTGTAATTGAGTTAATAAAACAGAAACTATTGAGAAGCTAGTTGATTTTATACCACAGCTTCAAAATGTCCCACATACAAACTTTTGCAGCTCATAGAATAGTGTCATAAATTTCACCATATTGACAGCAATCTGCCAGCTTTGAAATCATGGCAATTTATTTACATTCCTGACATTCACACACACCTGTGGTACATTATATGCTATTGATATGTATAGAATTTTCTTTCAACATGGATTAAAATATATTCTTTCATGTTTAACTAGAACAAAGAAGTTGCACAGCTTCCCTTCCAGACTATCTCAATTTCCTCCTCCCCCATACACATCACAAGAAGAAGTCATGAGGCTCATTTCATCAGCTTCAAAGCTAATTGTTGCGGCGGTAAGTAATACAGGTCATGCTACTTTAATCATTAAAGAGGTAACAGAACATTTTCCACTGTTGCACTTGAACAACAAGTTCCCCATAAATTGCAATGATAAAGGATCAAATTTTGCACTCTGACTGTAAATCCACAGTAATTGCTTTGACTTTAATAGTTATTGTGGATATACAACCATGTTACTGAGAGCAGAATTTAGCCAGTCTTTTGCTGCTCCATAAAATCATATCACACCACCTCCAGTTGAAAATACCCACGACCTTCCGCTCTCTGCAGTGAAACAGACTAGTTGGACAGGGGCCATCCTATTAAGGGGAAAAAGGCATGGTCAGCTTGCATCAGAATGAAGAAATCCCCCCAAAACTTTAATATACACAGCTGCCCAGGGAGAGACTCTTTTATAGTAAATAAACCTCACCTTCCCTGATCCTCAGCTTATTTAAAAAACACTATACAATTATATCAATTCTTTTGTCTCTGTACAGTATTTATTTCAAATAAAGTCAAGAACAACATACTGGCTTCTACATTTATACTACAACAAAAGCAAAACCACTTTTCAAACATAGGATTTGATAAAAGCCTGTTTAAATGAATCTGAGTTTTTCAGTTGATTTAACGGATTCTGGATCAGGCCAGTAAGTATGAATTTAAGTATCGAAATAAGTGACCTGATTTTCAGAGGTGCTGACATTTGAAGCCAGCACCTCATCAATCAATTCATTAATTTCATCTGTATGTGAAACTTTTGACCATAACACATGTTCCCATCAAACAGACTGACCAACGTAGAATATTTTGTATATATGTAGCAGGTCACTTGCTAGGATATCTCACTTAATCATTTCCCAGCCACTGCGGGGGCCTCAGGCACTGGTGCACCATGGTCCCTCCTATTCTCTGCCTGTGGCACATAGAATTATAGGACTGGAAGGATGCTCAATAGGTCATCTAGTCCAGTCCCCTGCACTCCAGGCAGGACTAAGTAATAACTAGACCACTCCAAACAGGTGTTTTAACCTATTCCTAAAAACCTCCAGTGACGGAGATTCCACAGCCTCCCCAGGCAGTTTGTTCCAGTGCTTAACTACCTTGACATTTAGGAAGTTTTTCCCAATATCCAACCTAAACCTTCCTTGCTACAATTTAAGCCCATTGCTTCTTGTCCTATCCTCAGAGTTTAAGGAGAACAATGTTTCTCCCTCCTCCTTGTAACAACCTTTTATGTAATTGAAAACTATTATCATGTTCCCCCTCAGTCTTCTCTTCTGCAGACTAAAAAAAACCCAATTTTTTCAGTCTTCCCTCATAGGTCACGTTTTCTAGACCTTTCCATCATTTTTGTCGCTGTCCTCTGGACTTTCTCCAATTTGTCCACATCTTTCCTGAAATGTGGCTCCCAGAACTGGACACAATACCCCAGTTGAGGCCTTATCAGTGCAGAGTAGAGCGGAAGAATTATTTCTTGTGTCTTACTTACAACACTCCTGCTGATACATCCTAGAATGATGTTCACTTTTTTTGCAACAGTGTTATACTGTTGATTCACATTTAGTTGGTGATCCACTATGACCCCCTGACTCCTTTCCACACTACTCCTTCCTAGGCAGTCACTTCCCATTTTGTACGTGTGCAATTGATTGTTCCTTCCTAAGTGGAGTACTTTGCATTTGTCCTTATTGAATTTCATCCCGTTTACTACAGACCATTTCTCCAGATCATTTTGAATTTTAATCCTATCCTCCAAAGCACTTGCAACCTCTCCCAGCTTGGTATCGTCCGCAAACTTTATAAGTGTACTCTCTATGCCATTATCTAAATCACTGATAAAGATATTGAACAGAACTGGCCCTAGAACTGATCCCTGCAGGACCCCACGTGATATGCCCTTCCAGCTTGACTGTGAACCACTGATAACTACTCTCTGGGAACGGTTTTCCAACCAGTTATGCACCCACCTTATAGCAGCTCCTTCTAAGTTATGTTTCCCTAATTTGTTTACAAGAAGGTAATGTGAGACAGTATCAAAAGCCTTACTAAAGTCAAGATATACAACATCTACCACTTCCCCCTATCTACAAGGCTTGTTACCCTGTCAAAAAAGGGTATTAGGTTTGTTTGACATGATTTGTTCTTGACAAATCCATGTTGACTGTTATTTATCCTTTATTAACTTCTAGTTGTTTGCAAATTGACTGATTATTTGCTCTATTAATTTCCTGGGTTGTCCTTATTCCCCTAATAGTCTAGTCTCCTATGGGCTGTACTACATTGGTCTAATTTCAGTTGTTGGGTTTAGTGCGTGGATGGGTGGTGGTGGCCTGTGATATACAGGCAATCAGACTAGATGATATGGTGGTCCCTTCTGGCCTTAAACTCTGTCTCTATGACACTTTGCAGTACTCTGACAGTGTAAAGTGGCCTTAAAATGTAAGTGAGTGTAAATTACCTGCACCCACTTTAAAGGAGAATCAAGCTTGGAATGTTAGTGTGTGGGCCTGAGCACATGCCTGGGAGCCAGGATTTCCTCAGTTCTAATCCTGGCTGTGACACAGATTCCTGTTAAGACATTAAGCAAGACATACTCTCTCTCTGCCTCTACAAGTTCCCCCTTGTGAAAGTGAGAATAACGCTGCCCTATCTCACAAGAATACTGTGAGGATTCAATAGATAACATGTAAGCCTTGGAAGAGGAAAAGTGGTTAAAACTATTATTGCTCATGCTGACTACAAAATTAATGGAGAATTGTTTATGAACTAATAGCTTATCTGTAGCAAACTCAATTTGTAAAGATTTCTATTAATATAATGACACTTATCTTCTTCTCAGACTTGTGAAATTTCTTCGGAGGAAATAAAGAAGCCAGACTGTGCCTCACCCCAGAAGAGGAAAGAAGCTAAAAATAGTCAAAGATTGAACCATTACTACAAGCAGCGTGCACCTCCTCTTGTGATCTCTCGAGATCCCCATGAATATGAAGCTAAGAGGTGTGAAAAAAATTCAGAGAGATTTTCAGCAGCACAGCTGAGTGAAATGATGATAGCCTATAATGTTATACTCTGTACCTTTTGATGCTGTTTTAAACATTTACAGCACTTTCACATTTTAGAGGATCAGATTGGAAATTTGTATCAGATGTTAGAGTAGGATTTCTTTATAGCTTTCTAATTTTTAAAGTTAGCTGAACCTTTTCTGTTAAATTATCCTATTTGTGTTATCAGATTTATTGACATTTGTCCCACCCAAACTTAATCAAAACAATAAGAGGAAATATGTTTGGAGTATTTAATCCACAAGATATCCTATAAATAATAAAGAGGCCAGCTGTAGAAAGGCAGCATTACTGAGAGAGACTTCTCACAATCATAAGTCTTTCCAAGCATGGTAGATCATGTCAAATGTAATGTGGAGGACTGGTCTTTTATTGAAAGTTTTAGAGGCCCAGATTTTTTTATATGAAATGTATATAAAAGAGAATCTTTATATAGTCCCCACTGTCTCCCATTTGAAACTAGGTAACTTCTACATTAGCACATCTCATGTTTCAGAGAAGCTTTTATTAATAGAAGTTTCGAATGCTCAGTGTCTGACCCTAAGCAAAAGCAAAACAGATCTTTCCTCTTTCTAAAAGACTGTCTGACATTCTAACTTCAGATCACAAATACCAAAATAACTTGATAACAAATCACGCCCTGAGGCAGTGACCACATATCGATCAAATCCTTGTGGTTGCACACAGCACAATGGTGCACTTTAATTTACAGCAAGTCATGCAGAAAAAATGGAGGAACCTAGGCACCAGAAACAGGGTTATGATGAACTGTTTGAATGAAAAGTTTTTAGGTTTTATTGTGCTGGGGCATATCAACTAAAAAACTTCAGCATGGGATTAGACACCAATAGGTGTTTTAAAAGAGCTTGCTCAAGTTCTGTAGGCCCTATATTTCACATACCTTGGTATTTTAGTAGTAAATGTCCACCTATTTCCATTTCTTTTAAAAATGGTCATTACTGGTTTGATTTTCCTTTCATTTTGACCATTTACATTAGTTCACAATGTAAATCCATGGACTTCCTTGAAACTAGGCCTGTTTTATACTGGGATAAAGAGAGGAGAAGCAGGCTGTGTAACATTAAATAATTGATATTAAACAAGATATACTTAATATAGGTCCTATCCATACGTGGGACAAAGCTGTGCATGCCTGCTGTGATCTCATATGCTATATGAGTGGATATGTTTATACAGTAGTTGGGATGTACAGAGATCACTGGGATTATTAAATTATTCAGTTAATCAGAAGAACATTTACTACCATAGTACAGTCAAACCTAGATTATCAAAACCCTGATTATCTGGGGAAAAATTAAAAAGGACCTTTCCCATAATGTAAAGAGTCCCTCACTGTCCAAACGCCCATTTACTGACATACTCTCAGGTCCCCAAATAATTTGGCTAAATCGTATTTGTATGCAACTTGTGGTGTGTGGCATCTAACCTGAGTCCTAGATTAGAATTCACTCTCTTTTCTCTTTGGCAGTGGCAGAGAGATGATCAATTCAACAATCACTGCTTTTCATCCTATTGTAATTCCTAGTTATATTTAGAAACCAAAGTCAGTCTAGTCTGATTGCATAAAAACAAAATCCTTACAATTAAATGAGCTTTTGATTTTAGGAAAACAGGTTTCTTTTTGAAGCTTGCCCTTCCAACATTAAGGGACTTATTGTTCCTTTCCAGAGATTGAGAAATAATTAACATGCCAAATTGCTTATTTTTGTTATGCTGTGTATTATAGCTATCATGCAAAGCAGTAAAAGACTTTTCTATAAGTCATTGATTGGGAGTCAGTGTACAGTACTGTATGAGGAGAAACAATCTGATACAGAGAATAGGTACATTAGAAAAGACAGGAAAAATAATGAACAAGACTATAAATCTTATTAAGTATGACAAGTCGTCTTGATTTTGTTTTGAAACAGTTATTTTATACTTCTCATAGCACTGATGTATTCTGTTTTAAAAGTACACGGGAAATGAACAAATTAGAAGAATCAAATGCTGACTTTATCCAAGAAAATTCAAGGAATGATTATGGGAAAAGTAAGTTACATTCTTAATATACTTTTCAATCCTTTTCACCATGTCTTAGAAAACAGCTGTTGCCTGCAATGAAAAATCTCTTAAAGAATAACCAAGTAAGCCATTTGAGAATGCACGGCTGATTCCTGGATTGTTAGCAGGGCTAAATTATTGTAGCAGTTGGTCTTAGAAGGTACTGAAATTGTTTCTAAACACAATTGCAAGTTTGCAAATGATTAAGTTACATTTTCCAGGTATTCTTTTTACACCTTTACTGTTAAAACAATAACATTGGAGGTGCAGAATCCATCTCAGATAAGCAGGAGAGGAAATGAACTTATTTTTTATTTTGGGGTGTATCTACACAGCAGCTGGGAGTGTGCTTCCCAATGCGGGTAAACACGCTAGCTCTGCTTGAGCTAGTACGTTACGAAACAGCAATGTGGCCAGGGTGGCATGGGCAGCAACTCGGGCTAGTTACTGGAGTTCAATCCTGTGCAACCCCCTGGGTACGTATTCAGGTAGCTAGCCCCAGCCTGTGCCGCTGTGGCCACACTGCTATTTTTAGGGTGCTAGCTCAACCAGAGCCAGTGTGCGTCTGACTACCCACACTGGGAAGTGCCATCCCAGCTGCTGTGTAGATATAACCTTTGTTGCCAAACTTCTAACAGACTCACACACACCTTGGTCTAACATCATATTATCCAAAGAACATATTGCAAGAGATTCTTTTCCTGGTCTGTTACTTCCTAATATGTGCTCTGCTCCTTTGTACTGCTCCCTCTTCTGATTCATTCTTTTACATCATATTTTCTTCAAATCTCTTCTGAAAGTTCATTCTCGTCTTGATTTCTCTCTGACAAACACTTTGTCCTTTCTTGTCATGACTTCTAATTATCTACTTTACAACTTGTCCTTTTCCCTCTTGACTTTTCCTATTCGCTTTTAGTAGACTATATTTGTTTGATCCATTTTATTGTTGTGTTTTAAAATAATAGTAAAGTGCCAGGGGATGAGGGATTTTTTGTTAAATAAATATTAAAATTAGTCATTAAAAATATGGTGTCTACTTTAGATACAAAGAAAGGCAAGAAAGAAAAAAACATTATAAATGTAAATGGACAGTTCAGAGTTGAGAGATCATCTAACGTTTCCAGTAACTCGTCTAAACATAGGAGTGTACATTCTAAAACTTCGACAAGAGCAACTGATTTAAATTCATTGTACTTAAGTACCATATCTCCATATGCACAAGGAACTGGCAGAAGTAAAGGTCCTAAAAAAAATGTGCTTAATGAAGGGGAGTCCTCTGCCTTGCGCAGCTCTTCAGTGATGTCTGAATGCCAAGATACAGAGCCAAGTACTGGCCGTATATCAGGCTTGACAAGTTTTGCTCACTCTCAGAAAAATGAATGCCTCTCTGGGTGGCTCTGTAAGTCATCTGAATTCAAAAGGCAAAAGTCACCCCAAATGCCTAGTAGAAAGCATTCAGGCATCAGAGTTAGTAAGTCTAGCAAGCTTTCACAGAGAAGGCCAATGGAGAACTCCAGGAATATGCCACACATCAAAAAGAAAGAAAAAATAGTGAAGGAAACAGGGAATTAAATGAGAAAATAATTCATACTATTTCCACAAATGCACAAGCCCCAATCATAAATGAAAACACGGGAGAACAAACAGCTTCTGTTGTGGCTCTTAAATGTGGCATTCACCACAGCCAAAATACCACATGTAACAGCCTTCATCAGAGACCTCAAAGTAACCAGCACCAAAAAAAGAAGAAAGATTTGTGTGAATTAGCTACAGGAAAAAACACCAAATCCCATAAGGTCCGTTTCCAAGGTCCATTGCAGTTTTCCAGAAATACTGAACAGAAATGTAACTGTGTAAACTTGAATAGTTGTAACATAACAAGTGACTATGGAATTCAAACCATTGCTTCAGAAAGTAAATCTTTAGGGACTGTGACACATCTTCCAGAGAAGGAAAATGAAGAACACCTTTCTAGGGTCACACTTGGAGCACCTTCCTTTCTACATCAAGTTTTCCTGGAAATGGAGCAAGATGCATCACCTACTTCAACTGCATCTGAGCCTAAAGATCTGGACAGCAGTTTAGAAAACAAAAGTATACAACAATTATGTAACCAGCATTTCATCCTTAATGAATCCACAGGAGACACGAAGGTTCAGGATACTATCAGCAATGTACATACAAGTAACATTATTTTAACAGACCCATGTGATTGGCAAATGGCACATATCCCACAGAAGGCTCAGTGTTGTTGCACCTGTTCAGAAGAACAATGCAACTTTATATCTGAAACATCTGATGAAGAACAAGACAGTTTCTCAGATTCATCTGTGACAGTAACAAGTATTTTAGGTGCATTAGAAAACCAACAGTCAGAAGAGGAGTTCACTATATCATCTGTATCTGATAGCCTGAGTCTTGGATCATTATATGATGTGCATGAACAGATGGTAAGCGCTTGATGAAATTATGTTATTAATGTAACAAAACTCTTAAGTGCTTTTTTAAGTAGGCAGCAGTTTCTGTTTCCATTTGAAACACCCTTTAAAAAAAAAGTTGTAAATTGGCTGCTTAAATCATATTAGACCAAACGTGACATGTCAAATTAACAGCCTGGATGTAAAAACAGCCTTTAAACATCTTTGAAAATACTTAAATTAGGGAGGGAATCAGAAAAAGTTTCCCACACTAGTTTCTACAGCCTGTCTACACTTGCAAACTCTATAGCCTTAATTCACTACCAGTACATCCTAGGGTCAGGTGATACAGTAGTAAAAACCCCTGAGTCCTATCCTCATAACAGCTTTCACTGTTGCTGCCAAGGTAGTCAATTCTGGCTACAAGGTTTCCTAGTATACACACACCATGGAGACGGGGCAAATCTAAAACAACATAATTCAGAATGAGTGGCAGTCTGCTCCAAGGGTTTAGGATTGGAATAATAGAGGTGTCACCATTCAGGACTAGAGCTTAATTTTCAAATCATGTGTGTCAAAGATTGACCAGCACCTGCCCTAATTAGTGCTCTTAGCATAAAATCCACCCAGAAAAATTGGAGGAAGTGCTCACACAGCACTCTTACTCTGAATGGCAGATACAATTTCAGCAAACAGTATCTCCTGTCCAAAGAAACCAGTAACCTTATGTAGTCCCATGCACTTCTGTTGACATAATTCAATGAAATAATATTTCATTGGCACTGTAGTGCATCCAGAGGACTTACGAACTGATGTATTAAAGTAGAGGAATATATGGGCTAAAAGGTGTTAACATAACTCAGTCACTGCTCAACATTAAACAGGTTCAGGGATTGGTATACAGAGACCTCAGCCTGCTTTGTACCATGGCAAATACACCATTAAAAATCTTTTCAATCTTTTATTAAAGATGTAGCAAAGAAAGAAAAGCAGTTAAAGCATTTGAAATGTAAAATATTAAACAAGGCTTTCATTTTAACAACATTTCTTGTTCCCTTTCACTTTAGCTGGAGAACGGTTTAGAAGGAAACCCCCCCTTTCTCACAGTCTCTTAGATGGTATTAGAGATGGTAATAACTGTCCTTTTGCGTAAAAGAGAAGTTAGTGGTGATGAGCTGGAGCTGCTTTTGTCAAAATCTGATCCCATTTCATCCCACGTAGTGTTTGGGATTCAGCTGGAGCCAGTAGAGGTAGCGATGGTATCGGAGTCTCTCTCTTTGGCCCAGTCTGGTCAGGCCATCTCTCAGGATTAGGACAAAGAAGGTTTGGGATCCCAGGAGATGGTGGAGGTGGCTGCCATATGGTAAAGCTCACTCCAGTAGCCTCTGTCTGTTCTTCCATGTTATGTTAAAGTATTTTTAAGGACCTTAATTTAGGCCTAATATCTCCCACACCAATTTTGGTTAATTTCTGGTTTCACATCTTCTGTTTTTACCAAGCTTGATTTTAACAGTCCTTGAATCATATCAGTAGGCCCTTTTGTTCAGGCTAATTTAGTTTTTCTGTCTCCTTGTTGTACCTTTTCCCATCAACATTTATTATAGGTTATTGTGACATCTTATGAACTTTCACATAGTTTTTACAGTTGAGCTCACAGGTAGAGTAAAATGTTAGGCCCAGTTATTACAACAGAACCCAAATGATGACAATGCAACTGTCCTGGACAATGTGAAATTATAACAATTGCCATGACAGCCCATCAAGTCTAATTTTAAACAAACATTTCAAGGAGGAAAATCTTTAACAGGTATCATCCCATTTTTTTCATCCTAGGAAGAAAACATTTGTGTTGACCGAAAAGAGGAGGAAAACTCTGACTCCAGCATAGGCCATCTTGATGAAAGAGTTCTAGAGGAAATGCAGAAGATTAGCACCTCGGAGAGGCTCTCTCAGACAAACTCCTTCCATTTCAGGTATTAATATTTATTCTACCTGAAAAGAACCAGAATAGGCTTTTAGTTTCCATTTCAGGGATCCACATCTTTGAGTTGGTATTAAATATTGGGGACCTGGTGATGCCTTCCTTTTTATAGCACTGCAGTAGTCTCACCTGATGGTAAAATCATGGATAACAATGGGATGGTTCAAATTCATAAGAGAGAATGTAAGATCCCTCTTAAGTGCAAGATAAGAATGAGTATTACTTATTCCGCCCCAAGGCACTTACAATCTAAATTGCTATCTGGACATCCAGAAACCCCTCAGGATACAACAAATTCCCCAACCAAACCAAGACATGCCATTAATCAAAGATACTGATATAATTTCTGCCATTTCCTCAGTTTGCTTCTCCCTCCATATAGGCACTATCTCGGTCTTGTCTGGGCTGAATCTCAGGCCTGGTCTACACTGGGATGGGGGAGGAGGAGGAAGAATCAATCTAAGTTACGCAATTTCAGCTATGTGAATAACATAGCTGAAGTTGACGTATTTAGATCTACTTACCGCAGTGTCTTCACTGCAGCAAGTCGATGGGAGAGCGCTCGGCGGTCGATTTATCGCGTCTAGACTAGACATGATAGATCGACCCCCGCTGGATTGATTGCTGCCCATCAATCCAGCGGGTAATGTAGACAAGCCCTAAGTCTGCTCAGCTCATATCGATGCATCAGTCTCTGTCAGGCAGTACTATGATGAATTAAATCTGATGTCACTGATTTTCATACAGTTCTACAGATGAAGAAGGGAGAGCAAATATGGATCATGCACTTAAGAGTGTCAATACAAGTCAAGTACTGTATTTCTGTCATTTTCCACATTACGTTAGTACATAACTAATCAGATCAGTAGTAAACTGTTAGAATAAAAAATGCTTAAAATCAACTTAAGATGCCAGAGCCAGAACTGATACCATATACAAATATTATGGTGTTTCCTTCTCTGTGTTAGTAGGTATGTAATGGTATCTGTTGCTTTCTAGCATCACAGATTGCACTAGTTAAGGCATATTTCTTCTCACTTTCATGACAAAAAACATGACTTCTCTCAAAAAAATCATGTTTTTGATCTCCCCAGTCAGCTGCTACCAAGCAAGCCTCCATACATTTAATGGCTAGTGTAGTGGACTCTGGGATTTTTAAATGTCTTTAAACCATTAAATATTACTACATTAAAAAACCAATGATTGAAAAATAAAGGATATTTATTCAACTTCCCATAACTTCTTAATTATCACAGTGGGTGATATCCAGGTCTCATTCGAGTCAATGAAGTTTTGCCTTTGACTTCAATGGGGCCAGCATTTCTTCCTGCGTGTCATGACTTTTCCTTTTGTAAACTACTTATGATTCTTCTCACTTTTTGCCGTCACACACAACCCACCTCAGTTACGTTTAACGACTCTGTTTTGTTGCAAAACTTCATCAAGGGGCTGGTCCAGCACCCAAGGGACTTTGACTTTGTTAATTTAAGCTGTAATGAATAATTGATAATGCTTTTAAAATTAAAGTGCACCACATACAGCTATGCTGATTTCTACTGAATTAAGTTACATATTGCCAGATAAATTAGGACAACTGCAAATCATGCCAACTCCTTTTGAAAGCTATTATGATGTGCAACTAAAAACCCAGTCATGCAAGAGGAGACGTGAGCAAACCTCTGCACCCATGCAGAGCTTCACTGACTTCACTAGGGCTTTGTGCAGGTTTAAGGGTTTGCACGCTTAGCTCAGCTTACAGGACTGGGGGTCTAAATAGTATTTACTTTAATAGCGTAATATTTGTGATACACACACCTGCACAAAGTGTTACCCCGAGGGAATTTTGTACCCAAAACCTAAAAATTCTGTGCACATTTTAAAATTCTGCAATTATTTGTCAATAAATAAATGTGGAGGCTCCATCATGGGAGTGGGGAGCACAGGCCACTGGCTGCATCGAGGTGGGAGATCACCCTGCAGTCCCCCCGGGACACAGATTCAACGGTGGGGCTGCACCCAACCCTGACAAAGGGCAAGGGCCAGGCCCTGCCCCTCTGCACCAGGTGTGGGCAGGCAGGCTCAGCCTGGCAGGATCCAAGTGTGGAGGGGCTTAGTGTGGGGAGATCCAGGTGTGGGGTGAGAGGTTTCTGTGTGGGGTAACTTGAGTGCAGGCAGCTCATTGGGGGATCTGGATGCACAAAGGCTCATTATGGGGGGGAGGGGTTGGGTGCAGGGGCAATGGGATTCTGCAGGGGGGTCCAGGTGAAGGTGGTTGGAGCTTAATGGGCGGGTCCATGTGGAGGGAGGCTCAATGGGGAGGGGTCTGGGTGCTTGGGGAGTGGGGCTTAGTGGGGCAGGGATCCGGGGGCAGCTGGTTGTGACTCAGTGGGGTGGGGGTCCAGTGTGCGGGGGCTTGTCAGGGTGGTCCAGGTGCAGGAGGCATTCGATGGGCCTCCTTAACAGGGGAGCCCCAGCTGCTGCCACCAAGGGGACACCACATGCCAGGCTCTCACACCTCCCCACCCCATTCTCCTTCTCTTACCCATTCTCTCCCTTCCCCCTCCCCACTGTCCCCACCTCATCCCCTCCCACTTTCTCTCCCCACTATCCCCTGCCTCCCTCCCCTCACTCCTACATCCCTCTCCCCAATTGCCTCTTCCTCCCACCTCTGCCATGCCCCACCACAGGCACTCCCCCTTGTACAGAAAACAGGAAGGCTCCCAACACACACAAGAGGAGCACGACCAGCACAAGGACACAGGAGGTGGCCTCCAGCTGCAGAGTCAGAAGCCGGAGCTGAACCCTCCTTCCGCCAGGCAGCTCTGCGCTCACAGAAATGGGGGGTGGCAGTGGCATATGACCCCACATGCTCCCCCCCATCTCACCTCTGTTTGGGGGGGCCAATGCCTCCCCAAACTACGCCCACCAGAAACCACGTGGGCGCATGACCACTCATGCAGATTCCCTTTGCTTCCCCATCACTTTCTGCTGAGAAGCAAAGAAATCTGCAGAGGGACCTGAATTCTGTGCCCACGCAGTGGCGCAGAATTCCCCCAGGAGTAAAAGCGTATTAAAAAAACCAAAGTCCCATTGATTTCACTGGGAGTTCCACATTCAGAGAGCTTGCATGATTAGGCCCACAGAGCCTGAGCTTGCAAAGACTTACCTATGTGCTTAACTTTACTACCATGACTACTAGTACTAGCATACTTAACTTTGTGCATTGAATTGTCCCCTGCCTTTAGTGGGACAGCTCACACCGTGTCAAGCTAAGCAGGGCTTTGCAGGACTGTGGTCACAATTATTCATTTTTACCTTTTGTGAAATACATTCTTTCAATGGAATTTCCTGTTTTGAAAGAAAATTACTGTCAGAATTATATTACTACTAAGTATTGTGTTGGCCTGTAAATTACTGTAAATTTATTGTCTCTGATCAGTATATTAAAAAGCCCAATATATTTGTAATTTATAGTAAAAATATTTCCTACCAGTCAATTGGATTTTTTAAAGTGATAAAAGAGATCCAAGGAAAGACTGTTATTTTTATACCACTGTGGGAAAGGGTCCAGCAGTCAGATAGGATATTTCCTAGCACCACATGAAGTGGAGATAGACTAGAAAGGCAGAAATGCTCTTAATTCCCTTCCAAGACAGTTACTTTGTTCTCAACTGAATATAAATATGATGCATTTTTTTAATTTTTAGAACAGATGTCAAAGCTGTTGCTCAGTCTCAATACAGTTAGCTCTAGACAGCAATGAGGTTTCAGCAGTGCAGATTGACTACCCTATAGATGCTAATGA